TCAGTGCCTCAGTTTCCTCATCTGTGAAATGGGACGCATAACAGTACTCCCCTCATAGCATTAGTGCAAGGAATTAAATGAATTTAATTTATGGAACGTGCTTAGATCCTGAGAATAACACCAAGCGCAAAGTGCTCAATGTTAACATCTAACATGTATCTTGTTACAGCTACAAATGCGAGTTACGGTTGTGACCTGTTTCTATTGGCTCCTCCACCTGCTCTAGTAAAAGACCTGGGCTTTGCAGGCAGATCTGCTGCCTGGATTTGAATCCCACCTGGACTATTTCTTAGAGGGAATTATTACAGTTACTATTTAGAGAATTTATATATATGTATAGTTTAAATGTTTATTTACCTTTGAGACAGAGAGAGACAGAGTGTGAGTGGGGGAAGGGCCGAGAGAGAGGGAGACCCAGAATCCGAAGCAGGCTCCAGGCTCCGAGCTGTCAGTATAGAGCCCGATGTGGGGCTCAAACTCACGAGCCATGAGATCATAACCTGAACCGAAGTCGGCCACCCAACTGACTGAGTCACCCAGGTGCCCCAATAGAATTAAATGAGAACATAAATGTAAAACCCTTTTTGAACAATGCCTGGCATAGAGTACATTTCAATAAATGTTCCAGCTATTATTCCCACTTGACAGATGAGAAAACCAACTTGGGAGAGGTTATGGAAAGCTAGTGGCAGAGCCAGAGCCAGGTCCTGGGTCCTGGTGGGTGCCAGGGTTGGGGGGGTCCCTTTTGAAGGAGGGCTGGAGATGGGGGGATTAGCCGACCAACACTACTGGGCCAGGAGGTGGCAGAGACAGCCATGAGCCCAGGGCTCGGCTCACTGTGCCAGTGTGTGCCCAGACAGCACACCTGGTGCCAACAGATTAAGAGCCTTTCTGTATGGGCAGATGTCCCAGGAGAAGACATCAATGGCAGGCCCTATTGGTCCAATGGGTGTCTTCGTTCGGAGCCCAAGGACACAGAGGGCTCCTTCCATTGTTGTTCTGAGAGAAGCTGCTAGTGCCATCCAGGTGTCCTGACTAGTAACTTCCCATCCCGCCTTTCCAGCATCGCCCCAACATACCTCCCAGCCCCCCTCCCCAGCCCTCCTTCCCATCCCCATCACGACATACCCTTCTGCACCTTCTTGCATTAGCACCTGCTGTTCCCCACTCCTGGGATGCCATTCCCTGTATTCTGCCTGATGCGCCTTCCTGGAAGCATGAATCATCCCTCTGGGCTCCTCTTGCACTTACCCGAGCTGAGGCAGCCATTTAAACCTTGTCTTGTTCCCAAAAGTCTTTGAGAGGAAAGCACTTTGTTTGTTTCTGTGCTGGTCTCCCTTTGCCCGTCCAGATCCACTGTCACTCTTCTCCACCCTGCTCTGTGTCCTAGGGAGACTGGCCACACGGACTGCATACCTCTGGGCTCGGCCTGAGGAGCCCCCCGGGAGACTGGAGGGCAGGGGGAGAGTGAGGGGTCCCCTGGCTGGCTGTGTTCCTCCAGGGGGAACTTCTCACCGTGAGATGCCTGGTTCTCCCTGCTCCCTGCCCCCCAGGACACTGAGCTCCTGAGGGAGGGCCGTGTCTGAGCCAGTCTGCGTGTCCACGTAGAGGGTGGCCCAGAGAAGATACTTGGGAAATGTCCGTGACTCAGACTGCACCAAAGTTCCGAGACTGCCACACACGTGGGATTCAGGGGATGGAGTCACGTGGAGCTCCTCCGTTCATTCACTCAGCCGATCACAGATACTTACTGAAGGGCACGTGTGCCCGGCTCTGGCAGGGGCGGGTGGGATAAAGACTGCCTTCGTGGAGCTGGCGTCATAGTGACGGGGACGAGGAAAGCACACACACACCTCGCATCATTGCAGACGGCGATACGTCTTACGAAGGAAGGCAAAGGGGTACAAAGTGACAGGCTGGGGGTGGGAACGATCATGGTCTCTTGAAGATCAGCAGGGGAGCTAGGAGTCCGGGGAGACCCTTCCGACTCTGAGATTTGAGGACTCCTCGGGGAAGAGGCCCTCGCCTGGCCGGGGCCTGCCAGCTTCCAGAATCGTACAGGTGGAAGCCCCATGTGGGCGCTCTCCCTGTGTTCTCTCAAGCCTCACGATGACCTCGGGAGGAGCATCTTTGTGTCCCTATTCTGCGCATGAGGAAACTGAGGCTGAGAGAGATTAAGCAACTTGCCCGAGGTCACACAGAGTCAGGGTGAGAATGGAAATGAACCCAGGTCTGCCTGACCCGGAGGCCAGAAGGCATCTTCCCAGGGCCGGCACTTCCATTTGCCAAGGATTTCCTCATCTGTAACGTTGGCTCTACCGGGACAGGCAGGCGGGAGGACCCGAAGCTCTCAGTTCGGGGTAGGCAGGCCCGAGACCATATAACCAGTGCGGGGGCGGGGGGGGGGGAGGGGGAGCTGGGGTTAAGGCCTCCGCTCTCCACCAAGGGGAAACTGGTACACGTACACACACCATCAGACACTCTTCCTGGGCCAGAGCGTGTTGGCTAATGGGTATCATTTCAGCCCTTTCATTTCTAATAGACACTGTACCGTCAGAAAGACTGTCATTTCCCATGGCTCAGGCAGGATAATCAACGTGCCGGCTGCCCAGAGGGCTGGGAATGGCAGTATCTGGGCACGTCCGTGGGTAAAACCATCCTCTCCCTGTCGGCCATTCCAGTCCTTTCCCAACCAGACATGGCCCTTGGGTTTGAGAGCTTGGCCTGGGGGCCCAAGAGGCTCCAGCTCAGGAAAGAACTGCCTCCTCTCGGCCTCGCTTCAGCATTTCATCACCTGTGACCTGGCGCAAGGCACTTCCTTCCCCAGACCTCAGTTTCCTCATCTGTGAAATGGGGGCAATTTTGTCTGCCTCACAAGGTGGCTTACGTCAGCTGACACAGCTCAAACACTTGCCATGTAGCTGGTGCTTATGAGTCGTCGCTACGACAGCGATGCTGCCAGAGGTGATAATGATGCTTGTTATATTTTAAAAACAGGAACTGTGGCCAGAAAAGGGAATGGGTTCCTGAAGGCCACACAGCAAGCCAGTGGCAAAGTTGGGCCGAGAGCGTGGGGTTCTAGGCCGGAGCTTTTGTATGAACTCATAGGTCAAGGTCATAACAGGTTTGTTGAATCCTTCTCAGGTACTGGCCACTGTCATGCACGATCTCAGGCCCCACACAGAACCAATGCAGCGGGTGTTATTTATCATCACCCCTGCTTTGCAGGCAGGAAGGCTGACCTTGGGGGCAGCCTTGTAATCAGTCTTGTCCAGAGAAACCGAGACCCAGGTGGTTTGTAGGCTGGCAAAGGTAGCTCAGTGGCTAGAGGAATCTGAAAGGGAGAAGGTGGGTGAGAGACAAAGAGGACGGGGTCTCTGCTCCCAACACCCCGGGGTGTCAGTCAAAACTCGCCTGCTGGCACATTATCCTGGCAGACCTCCCTAGTTCATCGTGTTGCTACGATCTTACAGCAAGCTATGAACAGTGGTCCCATTTTGCAGATGGAGATATCAAGGCCCACAGACTCAAAGTGACTTGCCCAGGTTTGCACAATTAATGAGAAGAACTTGGACTTGAACCAGTTCTCCTAATGTCCAGGCAACTCTTTTTCCCTTGCTTAATTTTTTACTTTGTTGGCTTTTCTCACTCTCGTTTTCTCTGCAAGTTACTGTCTGCCCTCCCTCTCCCCGAAGCTGCTACACCTGGGTGTAGACATCTCAAAGGCAGGAAATCTCATTTGACTTCTTTGCTGCTGGGTGCTTGGAGCCGGTCACAACAATGGGGACAAAGCTGGAAACAAGTGGATGTTGGTTGGGTTGTTGAAAGAACTGTAATCAGGCTCCAATTCACTTACTTGAGCACCGTGGTCAGCATGGTCAAGGTGGAGATTTCTGTTGATTGTGAGTGATTCATTACGCAAACATACAGGTGAGTAGGGGAAAGTGGTGTATTATAACTGTATTTCTTTGTTTATTTTTCATTAACAAGGCTGTTCCACTTGGAGCTCTGGGGGGACTGGACCAATTTGCTTGAGGATGCCAGAAAGCACCGGGAACCCAACCCATGCTCCCCGTAGTGTGAACTTAGAGAAATACGGGGATGCTGGAGTAGCTCTGAGTGAAGTCCAATGGCAGGAGAAGGTCCACAGGCTCCAAAGAGAACTCATCTGAAGGGAAACAATGGACTCAACATCAGGGGTGAGGACAAAGACACAGGAACTTCAGTCAGCTTTGCAGTCAAGGATCACGATCTATTTAAGGAAAAACGCCAGCATGAAAGAGACACCAGTCCTCAGCTTCCAGCCTCACTGCTGAGCACAGTGTGGGCCCGCCTGTGTTTTATGCAGGGATCTGACCTCGCAGGGCATCGCCACCTCTTCAGACAGGATCCACTGGGATGCGCACGACCAGCCTCCAACAGCGACACCACATGGCGGAGGCTGGGATGACAGCACTAGGTGGGGTTTCGGCTCCCTTTCTCTCTCTCTGTTTCTGGAGTTTGGAGGCAGGACTGGCCTGCTGTGGATGAAGTCCTCAAGGTTCCTGAGTCAGTTCAAGAGAGTGGAGGCCCCTAGACAGTTACTAAATTTCCTGCCAATGAAGGCTTGTGATGAGCCATTAGTTGGAAAAATAAAAGATGCCCTTGTTTTTATCCTGAGTGGGTAAAGCACTTGTGCAAGTTACAGAACAAGTGACCAGTGACCACAGCTATCCACGATGCCAAGTAACACACACAGGAGTCTTCTTTTCTACTGCAGGCCATCTTTCAAATTAGTAACAATTGCACACACACACAACATGACATAGTTTACAAATCTCATATCCATTCGTGCTCTTCTCTGAGCCTCACGCCAGCTCTGTGAGCCTAGGAAACGGAGTCTCGGAGAGGGACAGTGACTTGTCCATGGTCGCCAACAAGTCGATAAAGCCTGGTCTGCTCCTGTTTTGGGGACCGCAAGCTGCCTCCCAGGGAAGCCAGAACCCAGGTCCCTTGCCTGCTCACAGCAGCATCAGGACCACGATGGCAATGACCATGAGGACTCCAGCCAGGATGCAAAGGCCCAGGAAGACAATGTCACTGGTGTCTTGGGTCACCATGGCCACAGGGCCCTCCAGGGCCTCCACCTCATCGCTGGGTGGCGCTTCCTGAAGATGCTCAGCTGTGGCGGCATAGGGCCCCAGCCAGTCAGAGCCAGACAGCAGGTAGATAGAAGCCTCCTTGCGCCGTGGCTCACAGCGGACCTCGTACTCATGGATGTCCTCCTGCCCACCAGCCGAGAAGTCAATGTACAGCACGCTGACGATCACCGACGTGTTGTTCCTCCTCTGTGGGGGGTCACAGGGCACTCACTCGCACCTGAAGGGGCCAAGGGCTGACCCTGTCCCTCTAGATATGTCGGGACTCAGTGCCAAGGGGGCAGAACCCTAGGAGCCTGGGTTCTAGTCCCAGCTGGGCCACTGACTCCCTTTCTGCTTGGAGCCTCAGTGTCCCCACCTGTAAAAGGGACACCATGGGGATGTCTGGAAGGACAATATCAGTTTTGATGAGTCAGTGCTTGCTCTGGCTTCAAGGAGGCGGGGTCTATGAGAGAGAGTAGCAGCAGTAACAGGGACATTTGCCATGATCCAGCCTCTGTTTCAAGTGCATTATCTCATTTAATTCTCACAGTGACCCTCTCTTATTGGCACCATTAATACCCCCATTTTATAGATTAGGAAACCGAAGCCCAGAAGTTAAATCCCTTGTCTGAGGTCACACGACACACAAGTGACATGGAACTGGAGTCCCTGGCCATCCCAGTGGCACCACCCAGCTTTAGGCAGAGCCACCGAGGAGTGAAACGTGGGGGGCCTGGCACACTGCTGCCCTCCCTACCCCTACAGATGAGGGAGGCAGGAGGCAGGTTGCTCTGAAGATGGTGGGGTGTTTGGGTCCAGAACTGAGGGGCAGTGTTTTAGTGGGCAGTCTGGCGTGGCCTGGAGCAGGGGGCTGCAGTGGCACAGGGCTAGTCTCCCCACCAACCCCAAGTCTGCAGCAGCTGTTACACCCCTCAGGCTGCCCAACCACCCATGTCCAGTGGTGGCACTTCTGAGCTGATGCTTCGTAACAGCGAAGCTGCCTAACGCAACGCGAGCAAAAGCAGGGGCAGTCGGAAGCTGTTGTCACTGGACACTGGGCGACCCCTCTGGGGAAGGGTGTGGAAGGGAGTCACAGAGGGCTTCCAAAAGGCTCGGGTTCCATGCCCCCAAAAGAGGCTTCTGCATGTGCACCCTCAACCTGTCTGCCACCACACCCTCTGGGGAAGACTGATGTCCTAGATTTTTGTGATACAGAATTGGGCTACTGGATGAAGAAAGACAGGACCTGTGAGTGGCAGGGGACCCAGTGAAAGGGTCAAGTGAATCCACATAGTAAAGAAGGGAGAAAAAAAATCACATAAAATGGGGGTGAGGGGAAGTTTTAGGGGTTTTCGATGAGTGAGAGACTTGAGGGGAAAAAGCCACACAAGACGTGGTTGGTATTGTGGTTATGAAATCAAGTCTCCAGTGTTTTTTCAGAGATGCACAGAAAGGTTGTCATTGCCTTTGGCTGTTTGAGCTGCGCATCTTTGGAAGTGACCCGATGCAGAGACTGGTCCTCGTGGGTCTAGGACTTATAAGGGTGACACTAGGGATCCAGGAGTCTATCGTTCTCAGCTTTTATGTTTCCCATGATATTGGCTCCAAGATTCCATGATTTTTTGGTTCCAAGTTAGGGTGGTGGTTCCATGACTCAGAGACTCCGAGTGTCTGTGATCCCTCATTCTCGACTTCATGGTTCCCTGCCTCTGGGATTCTCTGTCGCCATCATTTCATGGCTCTGCGGAATGAGGACTCAGGGCATGGAGTAGGGGGGAGGGCAGGTCATCTTGGCAGCCAAGACTCTGCCCCTATTTCTCTTTTTCCTCAGGTCTAAAGGACAGAGATTTCCAGGAGGCTAGGGAAGCAGAGGGGCGGGCTGGAGGGGCCAGAGGCATATATTCAGCTAATGTTGGAGGCAGTAGGGTTTGCTGGAAAGTGTGTGATTTCTGCCAAGCCAGTCTGGCACATCCCTGGATACCAAGGCTGGGGATGGGAGCTCCTTCTGGGGGGGGGGGGGGGGGGGGGGGGATGTTTCTCCTTTCCCCTCCAATCTGTC